TATATATATCACTCAGATTGTATTCAAGCTCATAATAGTCCTTCTGCCTTAGCGTTCTGTGTACCCTGTGCCTGGGAAATGCCTTTGCCTCCCAGGGTTCACCTGGCTCTGACAGTTCTTGATGGAGGCCTGTCCCTGCCTCCAGTTTGCTTCTCCTGGCTGCTTCTCTCCACCGACAGGCCTCCCTCCCACACTCCAGCCTGAAGCCCTGTAGAAAATGATCATTCAACAAATATTTGTCCAGTGCTGTTTGTGGGTCAAACTCTCTGCCCTTCCCCCTTCTGACATGAAGGCAGAGCCCTAGCATACAGGGCTGTTATATACCCATACAAGTAACTCAGTGCCCCTAAGCCACTGTCCACTGGAGTGTGTTAGCGGACTGTCTAGGCAACACAGCAGGATTTAGCCCAAGGCACACAGTAAGCATAGCACGCAGTATGGAGTCACAGGTATTCACTCGGGCCTGCCTTAGCTGTCTGTCTGTTTGTCTGTCTGTCTGTCTGAAACACAGTACACCTGGGATAGTAATAGTGTCCACATTTCTGACCTTGTGGTCCTTTTAACCATAGCCATTGTTGGACTAATGTGGGGGATGAGGAAGGAGCTGAAACTGAAAGGTGACCTTGTCTGTGGTCACCCCTGAATCTACTATCTATGAGAGACCTGGATATGACACTGAGTATCTTAACTCCGTATTGCACTCTGGCCAGTGGCCTCAAAGACCCTCCCTCCCAGTCTGATGGATACCATGATGTCTGGAAATAGCTCACTATACAAACAAACAATGTGGCAAAGGGTCAGGACCCAAGGCCCAGGGTTGGCGGGGAGACTTGGCCCCTGGTACAGCCAGGCTATCTATGGTGCATGGGCCACACAGGGCTTGCTCAATTTGTCTTCTCACCTAGGAAGCAGGATGTCGGAATTCTTGGCACTGTCCCTCTCCAGGGCTTCTTTGGCTCCACCCAAGGCCAATAATCTCAGTCACTCCTCAAAGAAGTTTGCTGTGCTGTCTCTGCCCAGCGGATATGGATATGTTTGCTTGGGGAACCCTCCCTACAGCCATCTGGAACTCCGTGGCATGAAAAAGAATTGGAAGCCTGAAGCAACTAAGAATATCAGCGGAGCGAGTACACCTGGGCGGGACTTGTAGTTGGTTCATCAGATCTGCAGCTCAGCCTCTTAGAGGAAAAGCAGCCAGAGCCTGTGGTCACCTGGGGAGCAGCTAGGTACTATCTGGCTCTGGCCCTGGATACTCCGGCAGCTCCCCTTCCCTCCTCTGTAAAATAAGGGTGATCATCCAGTGAAATAATGACCTTTCAGTGTCCACCACAAGCTGCACTGGGCAAGGGTAGACACCTCAGGGCGGGTGAGGTTCGAGGGACGGGGACTTACAGCCCTTTCTCAGGGAGACCAGCGAGGAAGTGGCCTGGAATGTCAGCAGTCTCCAGAGCCTTCTGTGCTGTGGGATGATGGCCTACAAAATACAGGAGGGACCTGGCACTGGGCAACAGAGGAAGAGAAAGGACCAAACCCATGGAGTCTGGGTTGGATATCTGGGGACAGGTGGTAGGAAGCAAAAGGGGGACAAGGAGTGCCCACTGCCATCAGAGACAGCTACAAGCACAGTGCCAGGGTCAGCTCTACAGGAAACAACAGCTCTACATTCAGGATAGGGGTAAAGAAAAAAAAAAAAACAGCAGGAAGAGAAAAAAAGAAATAAAACAAAATCAAAGTTAGTGCACTTTTAAATTAGATCTCTACAGGTAGAAGCAGTCAAAGAGTAAACCCAGTCGTTTAAAGTGGAACAAATTAGAATATGTGGGACCCAGCCTTTGAAAGCCAGTCTGCCAGCGGCCGGCCAACCCCAAAACTTACATACAGCCCCCGGGAAAGGTTGCTTCCCCCAAGTTATTCGAGATTATTTTTCTACCACATGGGAGAATAGAGGGAAATCCAAGGCAGGCTACGTCAGGTGTGATGGTTCACGACTGTAAACCCAGCACTCAGAAGACGGAGAATGGAGGATGGAGGATGGCTGAGTTGTTCAAGTTGACGATCTCGAGACAAAAACGTGAGGTTAGCTTCCTCACGGACTTCCATCCGTAAACAGCCCAACGCGCTAAGATTCACCGTGTAGTGCTGTCTTCCGTTTCCTATGGGGAAGTGGGGGTGGTAAAGAGGGCCTGCAGGGCCTCACCCATCCTCAAACCAACCACACTTGTGAAGGAGAGGTCTGCTCCCTGTTCTCTTTAGACCTCAAATGAATTCATCAGCACAGCTTCAAGGAATGGAGCCAGAGTTGGGTTCAAGACCAGCCCTGCCTGGGCAAATCCATCTTCCGTCTGGCCAAGTCTCAGTCTCTGGAATGAAACTGAGAGGCTGAGCAGGACCCGTGGGTGGAATAGGGAGGCCACAGCTATGTGACAGACACTGCTTTTTAAACAGACTGGACTGCACTAGGGTTTAACTAACAAAACAAACCCGAAAGAAAAATGTTTATGTTGAACTGTGTAGATCCCCAGGGCTGGGTTTTGCAATCAGCCTCTTTATCTGGCAGTGATAAGTTTTGACCTTACCCCATAGTCTCCTCCTGCCCCAGTGGTAGAGAGGGCAGCCGGAGGGCAGTGGTAAGGAAGCAGGTTGGTGTGGGTGAGGGAGCAGTCTGTCAGGCTTGGCTTCCAGAGGTCTGAGTCAGCGGGGCAGGCAGGGCGTGCCCGGTCCACGCATGATGTGGGAAGGCCCGGGTATAGGAATGTTCCTCCCATCCAAGGAAGGGCCCTGCTCACCGCATCCCGGCATCATGTCCTTCTCCCTTCTGCCTTAGACACCGCAACTCAGCTGCAGACGGGGATGCTCCAAAGCCTGGAACTGTGGCTGGTGGGTTCAGCCAGGGGCCTTCAAGAACACCCTCGTCCTCAGGACTGGCTCAGGGTGAACAAGGCCAGGCCAGCCTGACCAGAGCTGATCTCTGGCCCCAGAGGATCCCTCGCCCTGCTGGGTGAGGTGGCCAGGTACCATCTTCACTAGGATTCAGGGTCACTCTTCTGAACAGTAAGTTGAACTTGGTGCTGTGGGTCCATCCTGTCTGGACACCCAGACCCCCTAGAGCACAAGCCTATATGTGGCACCTTTAACTTGCCCTGCATCTCATCTGGGACATGGGCCCTCTGGATTGCTTGTCCCTCAAAGTTCTCTTGAATCTCATCTAAAGAATCTTCAAGGCGTCTATGAAGTGATAGTGGCATATACGTATGGAACACCTTTGTTTCAGATCATGTGATTCTGGCTATGTATGGTTATTATTGTGTGCCAAGGACTGTTGTGATTATATAGCAAAGTGCTGGGACATATCTGCTAACAGATGGCAACACGTGTGGCCATAGCTGTGGATACACGACACAGTATGGTGGTGTGACCAAGGTGCAACTCTGTGAGGGGCTCAAGTGTGAGTGGCCACTGCAGCCTTTGGAAAGTACAGGTCTGTGCATTTGTGTCTGTGATTGTGCATCTACAACCCAGGGACCGTGTCTGAGGCTGTAGTACCATGGCTATGGCACGGACGCTCACAGCTCTCCTGTAGCCTAAGGAGACAGGATGTGCAATCTCAGGTCTGCCTTCACCCCCATCTCTACATAAGCACAAAGCAGACTCCTTTTCCAGGGCTGGGCCAAGATTGGGAACCCAGGAGTCCCAACCCCCATCCCAGGTTCTGGTAGCTGCCCAGGACAGAAAAAGAGGCCTTGTTTTCCAACCCCCTCAGAGCAAAGCGAGAGAGGAAACTAGAGGCAGCTGGGCCCAGCTCAGTCTGGAACATCTGCCTAGCATGTGACTAAGGCCAACAAGCCCTGTCACCACAGCATTGTCCCCCCCATACTACTCCCCCCCCCCCGCCGTCTCCTGCTGGGGGACGTTCTGCCCAGCTCAGAATGAGCACAGATTTCTCCAATGCCTACAGATAGAAAAAACCAGAACAAGGGTTGTGACACCCCCATTCTCCATATACCTGTTACTAGCCAGAGACCTTGGTGCTACTTGGAACAGGAGGTCTATCTCTAGCCTTTATCTTTTTTTTTCTTTCTTTTCTTGTTGAGACACTATTTCACTGGGTAGACCAGGCTGGCCCTGAACCCACAGAAATCCACCTGCATCTGCTGGGGTTAAAGGTGTGTGCCACTATGTCAGACTTAGTTTCTACTTTGTGATTCTTCTCCTAGGCCCAAGCCCCTTTGAGAACTGATCATTTTGATTACAGGAATGGGAGGTGGTTCCTTCTCAGCAGAGGGACACAGGGCAATACTATTTCATAGGGCAGGAAGTGTTAGCAGGGTGCTTTCCAGGCATAGTGGGTTAAGAGGAACATTCCAGAGGGCCTCAGGAAGGAGCCCTACCCCCATGCATGCTCAGAGCCTTCTCTACAGAAAACTTCATGGAGGTCAAAGCTGAGACGAGGCTACAAACAAAAAGTTAGCTACTTTACTAGTAGGAAGATGGAGGCAGGCAGGGAGGGAAGAATTCCTCAGAAAGTCCCACATCTGACCTAATTTTGATCCAGAGCCAAGGGGCTCCATTCCAAAAGTTCCTGTAAGGACACTATGGCCTAAATGAGGCCGGCCCATTCCTCACTCCCTGCCATGAGCTCCTCAGACTCTGACCTGACCAAAAGCCTTCCCCGGTGAACCTCACCCTGGAAAAATCCCCTCTGCCTCTGAAAGAGGACCAGCTCGTCTGTGCTCTTTCCGTATGTGAGAGAAAATCTTCCCTGTCACTAGGGCACTTCAAGCTCTAAAATGGGAGCCGCTGCAGGGCTGGGAACCCGAGACTGATGAGAGTCTCTGCCTGTCCTGTGCTGGACCCAAGCTTTCTAGGGACAGCTCCCTGGGACAGGCATCACCTGAGACTATGCAGGGCACAGTCTCATAGTCTTCTCCTACAATCTTTAGCACCAAGACTATGACACCAGGAACCCCTGTACAGGACTTCACCCATTTTGGAGATAGAGGAGGGGCTGGCAATATGGCTTAGTCAGTAAAGTGCTTATAGCAAGAGCATGAGGACCTGAGTTCAAATCCCTACCATCGGCATAAGTAAAAATCCAGAACTCAGGCATGACCGCACATGTCTTTAATCACAGCACTGGAAGGCAGAGGTAAGTGAATCTCTGTGCCTTCCAGGCCAGCCAAGACTACACACACGCCGTTTGCCTGTAATCCCAGCACTGGGGAGGCAAAGACAGGAGGAACCCTAGAGTCCACTGGCCAGCCAGCCTAGCCCAGTTAGTAGGTTTCAGACCCATGAGAAGCTCAAAAGTAAGGTAGAAAGCAACTGGAGACACCCAGTGTTGATCTCTGACCACCATGAGCACCTCCCCCCAAATACACACACACCGAGGCATAGGCAAATACACATACACACACACACCTCAAGGCATAGGCAAATACACACACACACACACACACACACACACACCGAGGCACAGGCAAACACACACATAGGCAAATACACACACACACACACACACACCCTGAGGCACAGGCAAACAACAAAGAGGCCCAGGTCTGAGGAAGCCATGTAGCCAGCTGGGGATATAGGGCCTTCTACTGCCTCTGACCATCATAGCCTTGCTCCTTTGTTTTGAAGTTATGAATTAATTTTTAGACCCATCAAGATCACTGAATCCAGTCCAGTGGGGGCATTTTGGGTTCTGTTCTCCCTGCAACCCTCACTGTTTCCAGGACTCAGAAAGAAAGGCTGTACTTCCGTTACAGTAACTGTAAAACGTTTATCAAGAAAAGAGAGTCAAGCAGCAGGACCCAGGAGCAGAACATGACTTCCCAGGAAGGCAAGGGGGCACAGGGTCACTTCCCAACAGCATGCTGCTGGGTCACATCCTGGCCTAAGGGGAAAGGGGCAGTATCTCCTGGAGGATGTAAACATAGGTGAGCCTGCCCAGGAGCAGGGGGTCTAAAGTCCCCAGATTTTTTCTCTCAGATTTTCCACTGTGCAATGAGAAGGATTTAAGAAGACCAGCCCACAGAAGCAAAGGCCCCTGGGAACTGGGGACTGGGACCTGCTAGGAGAATAGGGAATTACTGCTAGTAACTTTCGAGAGTTCCCTCCAGGAAGGCACCACCAGGGCTCAGTGCTCTGTGGCTTGAGCATCTTGAGCCCACAGAAGGGAAAGTTGCTGCACAGTGCCCTAGTCAGTGAGGGGGGTACCCCAACCAGGATGGGAGACCTGGTTAAGACTTATAAGAGGGAGTTGGCCTGCAGTCCCTCCTGCAGAAGCATGGGTGGGGCAGGGAAAGCCAGGGACCAAGGAGCAAGGATGATCCCTCGTCATGCAGATCACAACCCATAGGAAAGGTAAGGAAGAGGAGACTCAACACCGGTCCTCTCCCCAAAATGTCCTTCACCCCATTTACTGTCTTATAGGTCCTTGTAATTCTTCAAGAGATTTCTGGTATGTTACCTACTCCATGGAATGTCCCCTGACCAGCAGAGTTCTGTGGTCCCTTCAAGGAGTTTCCATGAATCCTTAAGTGGTATTGTCACACTGCACTGACTGATATCCATCCTGAAAAGGGGCTCCTCCAGGACAGGCATGTTCCAGCCTTGGTCACCAATATCTCAGCCATGGCCACAGCAGTTTGTGGAGCCCAGGGAATGAACAGGGTGTGGTGGCCAGGTGAGCATGCACTATAGGCTCCAGAGAAGTCTGCTCTCCAGGGACTGACCAGCAGCCCAGACTTTGGCTCAGAGGACTCCCACCTCCAGTTACCCATCTTAAAGTGAGGGAAGACTTCTCCAGGGGTACCAGGACTTCTCAAAAGTCCCTTCTCTTCTAACAGGCCACTCCTCACCCACTCCTCAACACCCACTGCTAGGGGCAGGGAAGCCTGGAGTGGGGTGGACCGCAGCGGCCAGGTCCTGGTGGGAAGAGGACCTACATATGTGGCCAGAAGTGTCAGAGATAGTCATACATGCGCAGCGTCTTCTCCAGCTGCTGGCCCACCCGCTGGTAGAAAAGGATCTGCTGGCGCAGGTAGCTTTGCATCATATGCTTGAAGTCAAGCTCACGGCGCTGGTGGAAGTGGTTCATCTCGGCCTGCAGGGCGAAGCCTACCACACGGCAGCGCCTGCGGATGCCATCTGCCTCTTCCTGAGCCATGCGGCCCTCATCACTCATGCGCTGGCTTTCCTTCACCTTGGCAAAGGCACCTGGCAGGACAGAGCACAGGACAGGCAGGTTAGGGCTTGGACCCCTCCTATTCACTCACTCCCTGTACATCCCTCTAGTCTCACAAAGGCGAAGGACACCCCAGATGGCTCCACCCAGACTTCCTCCTGAACCCACATGACTGTCTCCCTCAGGACATCACAGGCCTCAACCTCTCCTATTTCAGCTTTAGCCTCTCTCTTCCATGTACCCTGTGATGTCAGAGACTTTCCAACATTCTGTATCTCAGCTATCACACTCTAGCTGGCTGGCTTCCCTGAGGTGTGAGCTGAGTGAGTTTAGGGACTGTCATGTTCCTCTGTTCCCAGGTCCCACAAGGTCTGGCCAGGCAGATGTAGACACATCTGCTGAAATGACTCATCTCATCCCTGAGCTGCTAGGACAGTGACATCCTCCCTAATTTGAGAGTCTATCTCATAGCATCCAAAGATGCTCCCTAAGCTGGATGCCGTGTCTGGCTCTTCACTGCCTGCGGATGGCAGTCCACACCCATTCCCCTGCCTAGGAGGCCTCCGGGAGTTGGATCTTGCAGATGTGACTTCCACAGTGACACCATGTCCAACCATCCCTCCCAGTTCTTTCCTATCTTACCTCTGCCTGGTGGATCTCTATCCATAATTCAAGGGCTGGATCAGGTTCTACTTCTACACCAAAGTCTCCCCAGCGCCCCAGGCAGAATGCCTCCCAATGCACCTGTCCCCGGCCTGCTATCACACAGCTGATTCTGCACAGCACTTCAGAAGCCACCTGCTATGGCTCTGTTACACACAAACCCCATCCACTCCTCACCCCTGTCCCCATAGAACCAGAGGAGACTGTGATGATAAACAGGTGACAGATGGTTAGAGAAAGGGGTAAACCTGGGCAGGGGCCTTAATCCGGAAGAACTGAACTGAATCAACAGTTAAAGGATTCAGTTTTGAATAAAAGGCGGGTGACTAACTTTGCCTTTAAGCCAGTTGCTGAGAAGAGGAGGTAGTGGGTCCATACCTAGCACTCACTCTCAAAGGACAAAAGGTGTCAGGAGCCATTTCCCCCCAACCCCTAGACTGAGTAACCCGCCAAGGCGGTTTACAAAAAGGGAGTCCTTAGTGCAAGGGAGCCCTCATCCCATTTTTTTAGTTGACTGGCTTTTTAAAAAAAGAGTTATTTCATTTTTGTTTGTATGTTGGGGAGGAGAGTTTGTGCACATGAGTGGCAGTGGAGGCCAGAGATGTCAGATTCCTCTAGAGCACCCTAGCCCCTCAGAGTTACAAGCAATAGTGAGCTGCCCCACATGGGTGCTGGAAACTGGACTTGGGGATTCGGTAAGAGCAGCGTACACTTTAAACCCCTGAGCCGTTTCTCCAGCCCTTCTTTTTTTTTTCTTTTTGAGAAAGGGTTTCTCTGTGAATCAGTCCTGGCTGTCCTGCAACACACTCTGTAGACCAGACTGGCCTCGAACTCACAGAAGTCCGCCTGCCTCTGCCTCTCCAGTGCTGGGATTAAAGGCGTGTGCCACCACCACCCATCTTTCCAGTCCTACTTTAATTTGATTAAAATGTATTTTATTATTTTGTGTGTATGAATGTTTGCCTACATGTATGCCTGTGGATCATGTGTGTGCCTGGTACCCATGGAGGCTAGAAGAGGACATCAGATGCCCTGGAACTGGAGTTATAGGTAGTTGTGAGCCACCACGTAGGTGCTGGGAGTTGTACCTGAATCCTCTGGAAGAGCAGTCAATACTCTGAATTTCTGAGCTCTCTCTCCAGCCCTTCTTTTGTTTTTGTTTTGTGTGAGACAGGGTCTCTTGTAGACCAAACTGACCTCAAACACATGTATTACTATATTTGGTTTATGAAAACTGAACCAGGGTCTCGTGCATGCTTGGCAAGCACTTGGAAAAATCTCCACCAAATAAGATACATTGCCAGCCAGTTCTCACTCAAGTTGTCAGAAACACTCAAAATGCACTTCCTTGGTACTTCCTATATGCCAGGGCTCCGCATGCTGGAAGTAACTCCAGATACCTTCATCAGAGGCAGCATCTCTATCAGCTAGCAAGAGCGGGGCTAAATGGTTACTAGTGGCATTTTATACAATGCCTCAGTTTTGGAGAAAGATGCTTCCATGGTACCCAAAAGAAATCGGGAGCTCTCAGCTTTCAACTCACTCAGGCCTCTGACACCTTCCCTCTGTTATCACGGCCTCCTGCTCCATAATGACAGTCCAGCACAGTCCTGGGCACAGGAGGAAACACCCTAAGAGAGTTCAGAGCTGAACCGGCCCTCAAGGGCAGCTGTTCGATCCCACCACATCTCTTTTAAGAAGAAACTAAGACGTTGAGGGGATTTGCCTCAACCTTCTTCCTAAAAGTGGAAGGTGCCTGGCCCTTCACATCTGAGGGATGGATAACATCTCTACTACAATCCTATGTAAGGCCTCCAGATAGTGGACACGAGGATCCAAGAAGGTCATAGTGAGTAGGAGGGACCATAAGAGATGGAGACAAAGCGAAGTTAAGCTTCAGCAAACAGAGCCTCCCTGAAGCAGCCTGAATTCCACTGGCATGCCTGGTTGAGTCTGGGAACAGTGCTGGCAGATCAACATGCAAAGATTTTCTTGGGACTGGAAAGATGGCTCAACAGAACACTGACTGCTCTTCCAGAGGATCTGGTTTTGATTCCCAGCACCCACATGACAGCTCATAACAGTCCCAAATGATTGAATACCCTCTTCTGACCTCCACAGGTATCAGGCATGTATGTGGTACACAGACATATATGCAGGCAAAACACCCATACACATAAAATAAGTTAAAAAATTTAAAGAAAGATGTTATGCACACAGCCTTGATGGGAGATTAAAGCCCCTTTTGTTGATGAGATAATGGCCCAAGTGGCAAGAATGAGCCTCCTACAATCACTAAGTATCCAGAAACAGGCGGGGCTGGGGAAAGAAAGAGAGGCAAAGGCCCCAACTGTGCTCTTCACCTGTGGTGGTTTGAATGAGAATGGGCTCACAAGCTCCTGTCCTGGAATGCCTCATCTCTAGTCGAATAAGAATGGCCCCCTAGGCTCACTCCCGGAATGCCTCACCTCCAGTTGGTGGAGCTGTTTGGGAAAGACTAGGAGCTGTGGCCTCATTGTAGGAAGTGTGTCACCTGCGTGGGCTTCACTCTCTCTTCCTCATGCTTAAGGATGAGACGGACGCTCTCAACTCCTGCTCCAGCACCATGTCTGTCTGCCTGCTGCCATGCTCTCTGCCATGATGGTCATAACCTGTAACTCTCTGAAACTGTGAGTCCCAATAAATTCTTTGATAAATTGTCTTGGTCTTGGTGTCTCTTCACAGCAATAGAAAAATCACTCTGACACCATCATTTCCCCACCTGGTAACTGAGACCAGGGGACAGCTAAGGAATCCACCGGAGCAGGCGGGGCTATTATGCCTGTTAAGAACACCAGGACTCAGTCTGAGATTTCTTCAGGGTTGCCTCCTGCCCCGGCACACTGCAGAGCCCGAGGGTTCCAAGCACAGTACCCACCCTCCCCCACTTCTCTAAATTTGGGGGCAGGAGATCTGAGTCCTAGGACCAGCTGTTCCACCTGCAGGAAACCGCTGGTTGGCTGGGCGGCAAGTGTCTCCTCTGGTAAATGGGACAGAGCTGATGCTGCTGAAGACCGCTTATAACAACCACGAGCCTCAAGAGTTTCCAAATCTGTAAAAAGTGGCAATGACAGCACGAGCTCGACAGCAACTGAGGTTTAATTCAACTAATATGCATAAAATGCCAAAGCCTGTACCTGCCATAAACAAGGATTCGGAATGCTTTAATATGCAAACTGCCTCCAAGTATGTGCACACGATGTGTGTATTTACACATGTATGTGTGCATGCATATTCATGTGGGTAGAGGAATGCATGCACCACGGTACACATGTGGCAGTCAGAGGGCGATCTTAGGTGTCAGCCATCACCTTCTAGTCTGCTTAAGACAGAGTCGAGGTGCCTGGCGGTGGTGGCACAAGCATGCTTTTAACCCCAGCACTCGGGAGACAGAGGCAGGCGGATCTGTGTGTGTTCGAGGCCAGCCTGGTCTACAAGAGCTAGTTCCAGGACAAACAGCAAACAGAGAAACCTTGTCTCAAAAACTTGTTCACTGCTGTGTAAGCCAAGCACAAACTTCTGGGTGATCCCCTGTCTTCACTTTCCTTTGCATCAAAGAAACACTATGTTTAACTGCTGAGTCTGGCTTTTGTGCGGAATTTAAGCTCAGTTCCTCAGACTTGTACAGCAATTGCTTTACCCATTGAGACATCTCTCCAGGCTGAGAACTGTTTTTCTACCCAAGGGCTCACAGCAATTACCAGTCCATGGTGACTCATGGCAACATAATTCTCTGTTATAAAAGTTTTGAAGATCCAGGTGTGGCAGCACACACCTTTAATTCCAACACTCAGGAAGCAGAGGCAGATGGATTTCTAGAAGCTGGAGGCCAGGTCAAGTTCCAGGTCAGTCAAAGCTATGTAAAAACAAAATGAAAAAGCATACAAGCTGGGTGGTGGTAGCGCATACCTTTAATCCCAGCACTCAGGAGGCAGTGGCAGGCAGGTCTCTGTGAGTTTGAGATCCGCCTGATCTCCAGAGTGAGTTTCAGAACAGCTAGGACTACACAGAGAAACCCTGTCTCAACAAAACAAAACAAATAAACAAATAAATAGAATAAAGAGTTAAGACTAGTTTGAGGCACAAAGCAAGAACCTGTCTCAAAAATGGAGGAGCAGCAGCAACTGCTGCTCCTGGTGCTGGAAAGATAGTCAAGCACACTTGTTGCTCTTGTAAAGGACCAGAGATCAGTTGGCAGCTCACGGCTGCTTGTAGCTCCAACTCCAGGGGATGCAACACCAGCTTCTGGCCGCTATGGGTACCCTCACTCATGTTCATGTATGTATCTCCAAACACAGAAACAAGCTGATACACATAATTAAAAACAAAGTTGGAGGAGGAGGAGAGCAGCAGCAGCAACCGCTGCTTAGGTGAAGAAAGGATTGCATAAGGCTCAACCTATCTGTCCCCTAGTCAAGAGCTTGCACCGACAGGAACTACCCCTGCTTTAGCTAAGCCACGAGCTCCATGGTCCCTCAAGGATGCTCTGTAGTCCCAGACCTGCGGGGGTACACAAAGTACACAAACTGAGGCGGTGCTAGACTATAAAGCCCAAGCCCCCTTTCTTCCTCCTTTTCCTTCAGCACCATCGACCAGTTGTCCACGCCTTGGGCAGTTCTCTCCTCCATCTGCCTGACTCGGGAAATCCCAACATACCTGGCCCCGAAACCGACTCTGCCTCCAAATCTCCTCAATGCTGCTTGTCTGTGAAATTGAAGGGACTGCACCAGCTACTTCGTGTGACTGCTTAGGATCGATCCCTGAGCCTGCTAGCTCTCAGGAGAGGACTCTGGGTCCTGTTCACTCTGGGCAGTCAATTATCCTTTCTGTGACAGGATAGCAATTACTAGGTTTTTCTTCCCCCCGAATGCTCAAGTTGACAGAACATACCGGAGAGCTCAGCTCAGCTCCAGGCAGACTCCACATCAAATCAATGGAGACAGGGGAGAAAAGTCTCCAAGGCCACCCCATAGGTGAGGTCTCTCCAAGCCCCGTTTCCTGACTCTCCAGCCTGGGCCTCCCCAAACTTGTCCCTCTCATGCTCACCATTTGTTCAACTGTCTAGATGTGACAGACAGAATCCCGTGACCTAGTACTAAATGTCCCGTTACTTCTCTGAGGAAAGCCTCTATCTACGAGGCCAGTACAGGATGTTCTCCAGCTGCAGCTTCCAAAGCCTGCCCAGTCTGTCTCAGACCAGCTCCAATCCCTCCTCACACTCACTCACTCAGAACTCAGAAGCAGGGCTTACACAGCATGGGGCAGACACAGGCAGCAGATGAAACATCTCAAGGGGAGAGTGAGACACGGCTCTCCTGTCTGCCTATCTGAGGTAGAAAGAACAATATAGCCTTTTTCCCCTTCTTCGATGAGCCTGGGAACACTTGGTGTGTGCACACGTGGTTGCCTTCTTGCTCCAACTCTGCCCTAAGTGAGAGTTTCCAGCCACTGCGTCGGGGTAGCTGTTTAATCATTGTGCCCAGCCCTTTGCTGCCCACACAAAAACATGCCATCCAAGGAGCTGGTTGAACCAGCTTTCCCAGGTCCAGCACAATGTGTGGTTCCACTTCCGCACAGGAAGGCACCTGCCCCTGCCAGGCCAGGCCCTTGCTGAGTGCAAAGCCAGATACACGGAACCAGCCTAAGGTACTAGGCAGGCCTTCCCCAGAAGACTCTACCCCAAAGGCCTAAAAGACTAAGGTCCAGGAAGGCAAAGGCCCCTCCCAACCAGGGACACAGGCAAACTGGGCACAAAGTTGGGCTGGAACTCAGGCTCTGAATCCCTAGGGCTGAAAGGAAGAGAAAATTAGGTGGAGATGCAAGAGTTCAACAAACAGAAGAGGAAAAGAGAAAGAGAAAGGTGAAGGGGGAAAGCTGCCTGGCAGCTAGAGCTCTGACAACCACCTTCATGGTGAGGACAGGGGCTGGAGAGCGGGGGGGGGGGGGGGGGGGGGGGGGGGGGGGGGGGGGGGGGGGGGGGGGGGGGGGGGGGGGGGGGGGGGGGGGGGGGGGGGGGGTGTGTGGTATTTGCTGTTCCCTACATTTAAACCAGAGGACTACCCAGAGTAAAACTCCTTGACCTTAGGGCCTAGGGTCCCGGAGCCAGCCCCACGCCCTGCATCTATTCTTCCAGAGTTACCAGCCCCAGGGAGAACCACACCTCTCTCTTGGCAAGTTCCCTAAGTTCCTGAACTCAGTCACCTGCTAGGTCAGCCCCTGACTCAATTCTTACACAAAAGAAGCCCAGCTTGGGCAGGGAAGACAGACTGACCCATGTGCAGAGCCTTGGACCCCCGGTTCTATTGCCCCCTGCCCAGCTTAGTGCCCCACGTGACCCAGCATGAGTCGCTTCACTGGCAGTTCCTTAACAGCAGCAACAGGCAGGGGCTCATCCTGCCCCTCCCCCACACAGGGGGCCATGAGAACTGAAAATACGAAGGGCCTGGGAGGCGGCCAATATAGATATGTCCTTGGGGATCTGGAAGGAGGAAGGAATAGTCCCAGCTGAGCCACAACCACTCTGCTGTGGACACAGACTTCATCTGCGAAATGAGGAGAGAGAATCTCCTGCACAGATAGGGGCTAACAGACAGGGCAGAGCGGGAGTCTAGGGTCAAATGCTTCTAAGGTAGGAGCTGAGCCTATGAGAGGGTAAGACAAGCTGCAGTACGCTCTTAAACCCGTGGGTTCGTACACGGCAAAATCTGGGATCTGGGATCTCTGTGTGCCCAGAACCCAGGGTGCTACCTTGGGGTCCCATGCATGATTGGGTAAATGAGACACAGAAAGAACAGAGCGAACAGGAAAGCATGCACGGAGCTCAGTGAGAACAAAGGCCAACCCTGTCCACACCATCCTTCCGCCTACTAGAGAATCATCTCAATCTATTTGTTGAGCCCGCGATGGAGATGGAGACGGGAAAATGTGATGAGCTGTTCATTGTAGTACAGGCGGGGCCCATATTCCCAGGGACCAGCAGAACACCACATTCAGGAAGGGCTTACCTTTTTGCAGATGGATAATGTCAGGAAAGTTGGAGAGCAGGCCCTGGTAGAGAGACAGTGTGTCAAGCATTTGGAAGAGGTCATTCTTGGGCTGTTCAGCAAACATCTCACCAACAGTTTCATAGGTCCGGCCGGTATGAGAAATGGCATTGTTGAGGGCCTCGGAGCTAAAGGGAGGATCCATCTGGAAGGCAAGGCTAATGGCCTGGAAGGCATTTCCTAGCTTCTGGAATTCCTTGCGGAAGCCTCCCACGTGCTTCCGCACCATCTCCGACGCCACGGTGCTAAGTTGTAGGACACATTCGTCCATCTTCCTACTGAAAGTCTTGAATGTATCCACCCGGTCCTCTACGTCCTGCAGATCCTGGTGCTCTGTGGGGATCTGGAAGGTGAGCAGAAAGCTGGCCCCCACCATCTCATCCCTCTCTGCCCGACGTTTACCCATCTTCCACTGCTTGTCATCTAGACAGCTGAGGAAATGCTGGAAGCCCTCATACTGAGAGAGCACAGGGTGGCTAGTCATGTGGTCCATCCAGAGGATGAGTCTCCGCTTGCGCTTCTCAATGAAGTCCTCCTCAAAGCGCCCAGTGGCCTGCTTCTCGGGCAGGTGGGGCACAGAGATTACAGTGAACTTGTGGAGAAGGCGGTTGTAGAGCCAGTCGAAGTGTTTGTAGCGCCGGTAAACAGGCGAGCCAGCATGGGTGGGTGTGAGCTTATAGGAGATGTAAGTTTTGATGCCTTTGAACTTGGTCTGTTTCGTGGGCTCCTCTACGGAGCAGGCAAATGGGTGGGGGTTGGCCTTCCACTGAGGGCCACGAGGGCCCATCACAATGGAGTACGTCTCAGCAATCTTGGCCATCATGGGCACATCACCAAGAATAAAAGCCTCTACTCCAGAGCGCACAAAACACGAGAAACGATTGAGGTTACGTCCCACCACGCTGCCCCGCTTGGAAGATGCCAGACTGTCCTGTCTTTCCAAGGGTGTCTTCGGTCGGAAAGCCATATGCTGGCTGGGGTAGGCACCTGGATAGGAAAGGTTAAGTGGAGGGTGCCCATTGGTACCTAGACCACCAGCCCTTGGCTCGTCTACCACTGTGCATCCATCATCCCAGTCATCCCAGTCATCATCATCATCCTCTTCAAAGTTTCCTTGTTGATTTGGGAGGACATCACTGCCCCCACTCTTGACTGTGTTGGTCATACTAGGGTTAGTATGCAAACTCACTTCGGTGTCCAGGGAGACTGCAGAGCTGTTGGCATAGTCCACATGGTTGGTGCTGATGCCAGGACGGACGATCTCGACGTAAGAAGCAGGGAAGAGCCCTGTCTCCCCACGGCTGTTCTGCCCCTGCAGCCAGCCATCCAGTGAGGTCTCACTGAAGATAACCAGGTCTTCATCCTGCTGGATGCTGATTTCCTCCTTGTTCTCACTGTGGAAATCATAGAGGGCTCGGCCTTTCAGTGCCATGGCTAGGCTACCGGACAAAGTCAAGATTGGAAGGGAAATGCCTTGCCCAGACCCAAGATGGTCAGCGGGGTGTCCAAAAGTGTACTTGCAGCTCAAAGTCTAGTACACCTTACTCAGACCCTCAGGCAGGGTCTCAGCATGCACAAGATGCTGTCTAGCTGCCTTCTCTTCAAAGAAATGTCCATGGTCCAGAAACCACCTTATCCAGCCCTGGCGTTATCTACCTGTAAGCAGGGAGGTGTTAGACATGGCCACAGCCTTTTATCTCTCCCCTAGCAGCCCCTGAGATGGGGAGGGGGGGTCTCTCCCTCCTCTCACACCAAGTAGAAAAGTCAAATGGCCTGGAGAAACTAGCTCTGCTAGAATAAGAATGCGGCAGACACTTTGCACTAGAACAATGTTGTACAACGACAACAACAAAATCAGCCTCAGACCACGGTCCCAGGACGCAAGCAGGGTCTGTCTCCCCGGCTCCCAGCTCCTTCTGGCTGCTCCGGCTTTGGGAGGCTCTCACATTCCTCTGAAGATCAGTTCCTTCCTCCTTCCTCTTTCCCCCCGCCACCGCGTCTTCAAGAATCCAGAAAATCCAAGAGGGGCAAGAAGAATAACAGCAGAGTCCTGAACCAATTCCAAGGGTGGATGTGTCCAGCCTCCAAACGAGCCAGGCCGGGAAAACAAGGGCCAAAGCTTGCACAACCGGCGGATAACTACACGACCTAGGGGGCGCGACCCCGCCTCGCCTGCTCTGGTGCCCTCCTCCCGCCCTGCAAGTGGCTAGCCCCTGCCCCCAGAGAACAAGGGCGCGACGATCCGCTCAGAGGATCTCTCTCTCTCTCTCTCTCTCTCTCTCTCTCTCTCTCTCTCTCTCTCTCTCTCTCTCTCTCTCTCNCTCTCTCTCTCTCTCTCTCTCTCTCTCTCTCTCTCTCTCTCTCTCTCTCTCTCTCTCTCTCTCTCTCTCTCTCTCTCTCTCTCTCTCTTGTTTGCCTAATTCCTCAGCAGTTTCGGAGTACTAAACTGACCCCAATCGGAGTCCCAAATCCCCTGTCCAGAAGTAACACTAATGGAATCCTCCACCATCACCACCCTCACCACTGTCGTGCCAGCAAACACTCAACAGTAGTTGGTAGATGAAGTTCCATCGAATAGATGGCGCGGCCGGCTGTTTGTTCGTCCGTCCAGCAGTTCGTTCTCTGCGACGCCTTGTTGATGCCGCCCGAGAAGGATAAGCTGAGCCGCAGCCTTCTGCCACCTTCTCACCCCGCACTTGCAGCCCCTCAGCGCTGCCTGCGGGAAGTCAGGTCCAAAACAAAACAAAAATTAAAAAAAGACAAAAAGGAAAAAGAGTCCAGGAGGTGGCGTCCCGAGGAAGGAGGGGAAAGCAGTAAGGGGAGGTGAAGGGTGGGGAGAGCGGGAGGGAGGTAAGAGGGAGGGAAAGCAGGCTAGGGAATTGAGCAAACTCCACAGCACTTCCGCGCGTCCTGGCGGAGCAGGGATCGCGCGGCTCCGCCCTCCGAGGCCAGGATGCCACCGCCGGCTTTCCGTCCTCTTTCCTTCTGACGGGCGCCCTCCCTCCCTCGAGTTCTGTCCGGGTGGCGGGGATCTGGGAAGTGGACTCGGGAGTCGGGAGCTGCAAGCAAGCTTTCAGCAGCGGAGTAGCCGGTGTCGAGAGCCACCTCTCGCCCGGGTTGGAGCACCGCGCGGGGGAGCTCGCCAGCCGCCGCGGGGCTTCTCCTGGACTCGATCACCCGCCTGCCTTTTCCGTGACGCAAGTGCAGGACAACTCCGAAGTTTGCCGAACGCCGAGTGGCAAAGAGGGAGCTAAGGGCTGGGAAAGCCGCGCAGGCTGTCGGGGAACAGAGATGTGGATTACACTTTTCCAGCTTCCTTTCCCGTCTCGCTTGCCCCTAGGAGTCTAGGGATTAGCACAAGGGTATTGTTCTCAGAGGCGAGGCAGGGGACTGTGCAACTCTGGTGTCCCGCAGGGGATACCCGGTGCTGCGAACCTGATTAGGCCGGGAGCACCTCTGCCTTGGGTTGGGGTTGGGGGAGACTATACTTCTGCAGTGGCAAGGAATAAGTTTAGGCGCAGGCGAATTCTGGGTTTCTTTGTCCTTTCGCGGAAACTGGATCTTCCATTCTGGTCAGCAACACCAAGGAGAAGGCGTATTCTGGTAGATAGCCTCTAGACTTTCAGGATTTGACCCTCTAGTTTCTGCATAACGCGGTGAACTGATTTAGACAGGAAATGTGCTAAACTCTGGAGCGAATAGCACGACGGTTGGATTCCTGCCCCGCCCCTCTGCTCTTTAATTCACCCAAACTGCCTCATTCATTAAATTATATATTCCCCCCCAAAAAATTAACCGAGTACCGATAATTTGCCAAACCCCTGGAAAGACAACAAAGTAAGAAACTGTGCTTATCTTTTGGACGCTCATAGTAGTATCTTCACAGGTAGACAAGATGTTCCTGTCTAATGTGGCCAGGACAGTGGAAAATGCACGGGAGGGCACTGCCTCAGCCTGAATGGGACACCAATCAGGGACCTTCTCTTTTTCTCGCCGACATCTGAGGTTACAACAAAGACTGTAGCCCACACCTCTTTCTAGGCTGAGTCCTGGAGCCTTGTTTACTCCCCTACCCCACCCCCAGCTAGAGCTTCCTACCTCCCCATTCTAGTCGCGCTCTTTGCAGATTTACTGGGATAAATTCGTGCTACCTTTGAGTCGGGCAGTGGCGGTGAACTCCTTTAATCCCAGCACGCACAGGCGGATTTCTGTGAGTTGGAGGTCAGTCCGGTCTACAGAGAGAGTTCCAGGAACCCTGTGGGGTGGTGGGGGGTGGTGGTGGTGGTGGTTATAACTTTAAAATAAAATGGGACCTTTGGCTGTTTTAAGGGATGTGATTCTCAGACCTCTGGCTTCAAAACTCATTTTCATTGATACAATCTGGATTTGACTCCCTGTGAAGATGAATACAGAGCTGGTGGCGGTGGCGACACACTTGCAGGACTGAAGCAGGAGGATCCTAAGTTTGTGGCCATCACAGTGGTAACAAAAGCAAAACAGCTCCTGCAAATTAATGCATCTTTTAAGTTCCATTTTACAAATACTTTTTTTTACTTCCATTTTAAAGTTAAGTCATTCTTAAAATATCTAGGCTGGTTTATTTCATCAGTCCCTCTTTCAATCCCATGTCTCTAAGCAGCCGTTGTTTGCTTATCTAGCATTGAAAAATTCAAAATCAACACAATAACATTCAGGATCCAGATTCCCTGTGTATTTTTCATCTACATGGCTTATTCTTTTTATTACTTTACTTCTCTATTTAAAGACTTTATTATTTTTAAGCTATTTCTTTCCATATTGTCCGTATCTTTTTTTTTTTCCTTCTTCCTTAAGCCTATACACATTATAAAGGGAACTGAAACCTGTTGAGTGGTTTTGCTGTCTGGACCTCTTTTGCTTCCTATCTCTAGTCTTTTTTGACAGCACAAGCAAACTTTAGACTGCTAAGCTACACCTAGATCCTTTGCAAGACCCTTGGCTGTTCCCCACCCCCCTCCAGTTGTGAAAGGCAAGCCTAAAGCTCACAGCCAGGTTGGAAGTGCATGGCCAGGAACTGCATTCAGCCTTCCTAGGGGAGGAAGCCAGTACCTGGGCTGCTACAAACTTGCCTTTTTTTTATTTACTGCTATCACACCACCTGAACGGCAGTGCCTCTTAAAGGAGCCCTGTCCTTTTTCTTTTTTCTTTCAGCTTTCTCAGGCCCTACATGGAAATATGGCCCCTTGTTGGGTGTCAAAATATTGTGTGTTTTTTTTTTTTTAAAACTCTTTACTCTTTTGACTCTTTTGGAGGCCCACCACCCAGTTCCCAAATAAATCGTATAAGAAAGAAATAAATCTTTCTTATAAATGCTCAATCTTAGCTTGGCTTGTTTCTAGCCAGTTTTTCTTAAATTATCCCATCTATCTTTTGCCTCTTTCTCTATTTCTGGATAACTTTTCTTTCCTTCTTATTCCATGTCTGGCTAAGTGGCTGGGTGACTGGCCCCTGGAGTCCTTCTCTCCTCTCTCCTCGTTCTTGCTCCTAGATTTTTTTCTTCCCAGATTTCTCTTTCTATTTATTCTCTCTACTGCCAGCCCTGCCTGTCCTTCCTCCTGCCTAGCTATTGGCTGTTCAGCTCTTTATTAATAGATGGGCATGGTAACACAGAGTTAAACAAATGCAACATAAAAGAATGCAGCACATCTTTGCATCATCCAACAAACGTTCCACAGCAAACAAATGTAACACACTTTAAATTAATATTCCACAACAGTGGTGGGACAAAGACTGGGGCAAAGGAAACCTGGGAGACCTTTGGAGGCAGACTAGACTAGAATGATGATCACATATTTGAAGATATATTCTCAGAAGCTGGACATGGTGGTAAATGCCTGTAATTCTAAATTTGGGAGGTTGAGGCGGCAGTATCAAGAGAGCTAAAATGGGGGGAAGGGCTGGAGAGATGGCTCAGTGGTTAAGAGCATTGCCTGCTCTTCCAAAGGTCCTGAGTTCAATTCCTGGCAAACATATGGTGGCTCACAACCATCTGTAATGAGATCTGGTGCCCTCTTCTGGCCTGCAGACATACACACAGGCAGAATATTGTGTGTGTGTGTGTGTGTGTGTGTGTGTGTATAATTTTTTTTAAAAGAGAGAGCTAAAATGACCAGGCTTGGTGGCATGTGCCTTTAATTCCAACACTCTGGGGGTAGAGGCAGGCAGGTCTCTGTATATTTGAAGCCAGTCTAGTCTACAGATTAAGTTTAAGGCCTGCCAGGATTATGGAATGAGAACCTGTCTCAAAACAAATAAATAAGCAAAGAAGCAAACAGGAGGTAAAATGACAGAAACTAGCACGAGGCCTGGGGAGGGAACAGTCCCTAAAACCTTTAGGTAGAGATACTACTTAAAAGACAATAAAAACAAAAAAATAGAACTCTTCTGATATTTGTGGCCTCCAATGAGGACATTTTATGAGGAGCTGCTTTGGGCTCTTTTTCCATCTGACAAAGTTTTATCTGTTCTCATCATTCCCTCCTTTGAAGTAACAATGCTAAAATCATTTAGGAACCAGACCAGGGATTAAAGCCTACAAACAGTTTTGGCATTTCTTTGGCCTCCAGTTACGACATTTAAAAAAATTTTTTTTTCTTCTTCTTTCCTCTTTCTGTCTTTGTCTTTTCTATCTCTATGTGTATGTATACGTTTTGTTTTGTTTTGTTTTTACAGTTAGGACATTTTTAGCTCATGACTGAGGATACAGGTATTGACTGAGGTCCTGTCTCTAAACTGCCTGTCCCATCTTTATCTCCCAGCCTCATCGTTCCTGCCTGAAAATGCGGCTCTGAGAGCCATTTAGGAAATTGGGAAGTTTCTTATTACCTTTATTTGGTGTGTGCATGTAGGCCAGAGAACAAGGGAGTCTGTTCTTTCCCTCCAACACGGGGTTCCAGAGATGGGTGGTCGGGCTCAGCCCCTGTACAAACCAAGCTATCTCTTAACACTGCTAGATCACCCTAGGACCTTTTATTTTATTTTATGTATTGATTTTTGGTTTTTCGAGACAGGGTTTCACTGTAGCTTTGGAGCTTATCCTGGAACTAGCTTTTGTAGACCAGGCTGATCTTGAACTCACGGAGATCTGCCAGCCTCTGCTTCCTGAGTGCTGGGATTAAAGGCATGTATCACCACTGCCAGCTTTTTTTTTTTTTTAACAGAGTCTCACTATGTAGCCCTTGCTAACCTGGAACTCACTATGTAAACTAGGTTAGGCTCAGACTCAAGGAGATTCACCTGCCTTTGCCTCCCAAATCTTGGGATTAAAGATATAAACTCTCCTACCCCCCCCCCCAAAAAAAAAACAACAAAAAACAAATACACACATACATACACACACAAAGAAATCAGGGCTTCTCTATACAGCCCTGGCTGTCCTAGAACTCTATATAGATCAGGCTAGTCTTGAACTCACAGAGATATCCACCTGCCCTTACCTCCCTAGTGCTGGAATTAAAGTCATTCAGCTCTATTTGAACTTTTTGGTTTTTCATGACAGGGTTTTGGAGCCTGTCCTGGCACTTGCTCTGTAGACCAGGCTGGCCTTGAACTCACAGAGCTCCGCCTGCCCCTGCCTCCCTATTGAACTTTTAATAGATGTCTCCAACCTACCATCTACAAAATGGGCTTTCTGATCTTGCCCATCCCCAAATGTTCTCTGCTTGTATCTTCTTTCTCCATCTCGGGTGATTATGTATATATACATAGCTAAACTGTTGGGATGTAAAAAAAAAAATCATCCTCCACTCTTCTCATCATTTTGTCATTTCCCTTTTACAAGCATCTTAGTACTGCTTTTCTGGCACAGGTACCTTCTTTCTGATCTGACCTGGATGGCTACTGTAGCTTCCTTATGTTTTCTGTGCATGTGCATGCACACAAACACACACCATTGTTCCTTATACAAGAGTCAAGGTGATCTTTGAATTTCTTTTTTCTGATTAAAATTTTTATATTGCTGAGTGGTGGTGGTGCACGCCTTTAATCCCAGCAGACGCTGGCGGATCTCTGTGAGTTTGAGGTCAGCCTGATTTACAAAAGCTAGTTCCAGGACAAGCACCAAAGCTATACAGAGAAACTTTGTCTTGAATAAACAACAAAACAAAAAAACAGAAAAAAAATTATTATTTTTATTTATTTTGTGTGTGCTGCAGTGCATGTCTTAGAGGTCTGAGACAGCTTGAGAGATTCAGTTCTCTCCTTTCACCATGTGGATCCTAGGGACCAACCTCAGATCATCAGACTTGGCTGGTTTTTATTATTGTTCTCATTTTTCCCCAGGACAAGGTTTCTCTGTGTAGCCCTGACGATCCTGGAACTCTCTCTGTAGACCAGTTGTTGGCTTGAACTCACAAGAGATCTCCCTGCCTCTGCCTTCTGAGGGCTGGGATTAAAGACAAAGGCATGCGCCACCACTGCCTGGAACAAGCGTTTTTTAACTGCTAAGCTGATTACCTCAACTCCCTTTAGAGTCTATAAAAAGCTTGGAGTGTTTTTCCTTGTAGGGCTGGGATGACTGTAGATGGAGCTAGCTCAGCAGTTAAGAGTGTGTACTGACTTGGTGTACATGTCTGTCTGTACCACATTTGTACAGAGCTTTTTATTCCAGGCCCTGAAGATGACGAAAAGGAAAGGGGGGCAGTGAATGTCTCTCTGGGCTACAAGAAGAGTGAATTCTTCTGTCCCTGGAACTTTCTTGCATGGATCGCTTAGACCAACATCAAACAGAGTCCATCCATTGACTGTTAGGCTGGTTGCAAGTTCACGTATTTGGAGAATGAGAAGACAGGGGAGGAGAGAGACCAGGGAAAGGGCTGACATTGCAACCCCAATGAAACCGCTTTGAGGTTTCTGTACCAGAGATGCTAGATCTGAGCAGACCTGGAAACCAAACCTTAACCGATGCAGGCTATTCTTTGATAAAGACGAGGGACAACAACCTCACCTGGGAAATGGGGATTGTATGCCATGGCATCAAAGTGTGAGGTTTGGTGGGGTTTGGTGGGGTTTGAAGGGATTTGAAGGGGGAAAGGACCTGTCAGGGTGGGGATGGCATCAGAGCTTGAGATTTGGTGGGGCTTGAAGGGGAAAAGGACCTGTCAGGGTGGGAGTTCAGTAGAAATTTTTTATCTTAGTTCTGCTTTTGTGATTTCAGACAGGAACTGTGCTGGAAGATCTTCTGGAGCTTGGGGGGTGTC